AAACAACAAGATGATAAAGCACAAAAAGATGATTTCAACAAATTTATTCCTGCGAAGATTACAAAATTAGGGACTTTAAACAATCCACGACGGCGACGGAAACGAGAACGTGGAAAAACAATAGATCTAATCGGCAGAACAATAGCCCAGCTCGTGCGTTTTAAAACTTTGTACATATCTTAGCCGTCTTATTGCAAAACAACAATGTGAAATCACCAAATTTGCGTCGTCTGCGAAGCGAAACAGTGGCGGCAAAATATTTTAATTTACGTTTGGAGCTTAACGCTACTTTTATGCGTTATGTTGAGTTTGATGTCTGGCGCCCTATTAGACGGTAAACACAGGCAGCCATTTTCGAAATTCTGACTTAAAGTAGAAACTCATTTTTTAATCGACGTCTTCCGTGGCGTTGCTGTCCTGACTGCTTAAAGTCGCTATTGTGTGGCGGAAATCCCGCGCGAAAATGCTCGGAGGTGAGTAGCAAAGGATATTCGAAGTTTGATTAGCAAAGTAGAGCGCCCCTATATCGCCATTCACTATTTTAGAATATATTTAGTCAAATCTACCCTGTAGTGGAACAATCTAGGGAGTTTTAAGGAATATAATTCGCTGGTATCAGGGAGAAATTAATTCTTCCCACAGATGATAGTAAATGCAAAACATAGGCATACAATAAGCGTGGCCGTACGCGTGGCCAGACTTTTAGTCCAATTGTTAGGGCTGAGATACAGACTAATTGTGATTTTAAAGAGGGCATAGATCATCGTAGTTGTATCTTGGGTTCTATCCAGTATCGCTGCTTTATGCTACAATTTAGAGTACGTGTAACTTTTTGGTGTGGGTATATAGTAGACCACCCTGCTTAGTTATTTCTATCGCCTCGCATACAAAGATTTTCCGCGCTCTCAGTCGTCATCACACTCAAGTACAACTGATGTTCAACAACAACCGAGCCAAACAAATTCTCTGAACACGGCGCGATACAAGAAAGGCGGTGTACAGTGCACTGTGGGTAGATATTGTGCTCATCTACACTAAAAAACCTTCAGCGTTCCAAATTACTAGCAGAGGAAGTGCTTCTTTTTTTAAATTTTTTTTAACTCGACGTTAGACTCGTTTCTTTACTGGTGGAAGATCAGTGAAATAACACAAGTTGTGAAAGAGGCAGAGAAGCACTTTTCTGTGCATGAGGTTTGAAATGATTTTATGTGATTGCACGAGAAGCAGTCGTACTTTAAAA